GGGAAAGAGAGGAGTTGGTGACAGGAGACAAGAATATCTGCTTCCTTCCTTCCACAATCAGAAAACGAGCTCGATTCCTAGGTCCACCACTTGCTGGCTAAATGAGCTCAGGTGAGTTGCTAAAACTCTCTGTGCTCCACTTGCACAGCGGGGACAGTAACTTTGCCTTGCCTACCTCTGGACCTCTTGAGGAACAACAAGAAGGGAGACCTGAAAAAATTCACAAATTGCACATTACGATCTTCATGTGTAGCATTATGACCTATTATCGAAGTCTTACCCACCTTCAATGTCAGCTCAAGGTCATCACTTTCATGGGGTCTTCCCTAATACCTTGCTCTCCAGAACCTCTCTTATACCTGGGCTCCTACTCCTTACATCGCTCTTATCCATGGTCTCACATCCCTCTCTCTGGTTCTTGTAGGCTGGCCCTCTTGTCAGCTCATGTGGAAGCCAGTGCTCAAAACTCTGGATTCAAGTATAGCCATTAAGATCGCCAGCTTTGGAATTAGATAAATCTGAATTCGAACTCTCATTTGGTTATTTGCTAACTGTGTGGCTGTGGACAAATAACCTCTCTGAGCCTCTGTTTCCTCGCCTGTAAAACAGAGGTAATAACCATATCTTCTCATGGAGTCGCTGAGAGGATGGAATGAGATCATGTTAGTGACAGCAGCAAACCCTGTAGTGCTCAGTAAACGGTCACTGCTATAATTAATAGTATAAAATGACGAGATTCGGTTCCAACTGGACAGAGGTCCCTCTAACAATACGATTCCAAAGAGCGAACACTCCACCTATTTCCTATCCTTTGCAGCAGGACTCAAAACAGCTTGCCTGGGAAAGTACTTAACAAAGTCTTATGGACTTCCCTTGAGGTTCCCTCTGGATTCCTCAGCTGGTAGTTCCCATCAACACCCTTTCAAAGCAATCATTCGTGGTTCATAAGTTCAAGGCAAAGAACTTGCTGTTCCTGCGATTCCCAAGATGGCCTCCAAATGTTGTAGCCTGAAATACATTTCAGCCACAAATTAGAAGGCAGCTGATGGGGTTTAGGGAAGGGATTTCAACCATATGGCAGGAGGACGAATCACCCTGTGTTAATGAAAGTACATATCAGCTCAGCCTCTGGTGCTCTGTATCTGGTGCTCACTTAGGGACCAGGGAATCTAGCTCAGCAATGTGGCTAGGAGTCCCAGCTTCTCAGGGTTGGGGTGGAGGGCAAGCAAGGGTCTCCTCACCAAGGGGGGTCCATCCCTGAGGTCAGTGTTCCAGGAACAGGCCTGATCCTGTGGGTTTCTTCAGGGCCATGGAGCTAAGCAGTGCTCTCTCTTGATTGGCAGGTCCCCCGGTGAATGTGAGCTGCAACATTTTCATCAACAGCTTTGGTTCCATTGCTGAGACAACTATGGTGAGTAAGTTAAAACACAAGCTGCTATTTCATGCTGGGGATAACTCTCTCTCCCTAAAATACCCTCTGCATTGGTCTTCCCCAAGGAGGTGGGGAATCTGATATATTTTCAGATCTCCAGTGGTATACCATGAGACTTGGACCTTTTTGCTATCCTAGTCAATGTTTTCCGTGAAGATATACTTCTGAAAATAACCAAAGAGCCAGCAGGGCTAGCACAGGCCAAATGCCCAGGATTATAAAAACAAAGTTATATCAACGGGCTAAAGTTTTAGATTAAAATTAAACACATGCTTATAAGTTTCAAATTCAACTGTGGAATAACAGAAGACTGGTTATAAGAAGCTGAAATTGGTACATTGGGTTGATTCTACTCTATTCTCTACCTTTGTATGTATTTAAAAATTCCCATGGTAAAAAGTTTAAAATAACACTAGTCAATAACACTAGAAAAAAAGACTAAAAGGAAAAATACTAAAATGTTAATAGCAATTATCCCTGTATCATAGACTTATCTATAATTTTATTTTCTTCTTTCAGTATTTCTATATTTTTTCAAATTTCTACAAGGAGTAAGTATTACATTAGTAATTATAAATTAGTACAATGACACTTTAAAAATTTTTTCTCAATCCTTGAAAACGAAACAAAAAAATCAATTGTACTTCTTTTGAAGAGAGTGATCTAGCTTGTGAGAAAATAATTAAGGCCACCTAAAATCATCTCTTTATGAGCAGAGAAGCAGCTAGTCAGTCACCAAGTCCTATAGATGTTGCTTCCTTGAAGTCCTCTAAACCATCCATTTCTGGACATCTACCTGTCCCTAATCTAGTTTAGGCTGCCGTTATGGCTTGCTCTCATTACTACAAAGGGTTCTCGACTTTCATCTTGCACGTCTCCCCCCCACCCCCATCCATTCTTTCTCACACAGTGGTCTTCATGAAATACACACTAACCACACCACCCCTTACTTTAATACCTCCCCCAGGACTCCTCCTACCTTCAGCATTAAGCCCAAATTCCTCTGCAAAGCTGAGAAGGCCCTTTGGGATTCTGCCCTGCTTCATCTCTTCTCTCTCTCATGTCCTATTTGGGATAAACGGAAATGCTCAGAGTTCTCCACACAGGTGGTGCTCTCTCTGGTTTACAGCTTCTGTCGATGTTGTTGGGGCCTCTGCCCAGAGCACCCACTCCAGCCTCCTTTCCCTTGCCATCTCTTATTCTCTTTTAAGTCTCTGCTTAGAATTGCCTCCATAGGAAGCCTTCACCCTCGAACACGTGTGTGCGTGCATTCATGTGTGCTTGACCCAAGGCTAGGATGTCTCCCTTCCCATTCTCATGAGACATTTTACAATTCTCATAATAGCACTTAACCTTACACTTAACACCACCACAGGCTGCATATTTGTCTCTCTTTTCACTATAATGGAAGTGCTTTGTGGTCCAGAATTTTGTCTCATTTCCTGTGGTAACCTCAGCAGCCAGTGCAGTGATTTAATAACAGGCATTCAATAATTTTTTAAATAAATAAACCAAACCAGATATATCGTTTGTCAATCAAACCACTATTTCATCCTAAACATTAGATCTAAACTTTCAGTCCCAGATTGGCAAAAATCCTTGAATTCTCTGTAGGTCATGTGGCAAATGGTCCAAAATTTGCCCTTTTGCAGAGGCCAGTCTTGATTTGGCCAGGTAGAACCTGTCCACATCCAAAGGACAACTGATCAAAGTCTCTAAAACTACAAGGTCCATTATCTCCAAATGGAAATGATCCCACTTGTCAATAAGGAACAATTATGGCTGCTTTTCACTCAGTATCCAGTATCAAAAGCCAAGTTTTTCCACACTTTGAATGGATGTCCTCCTAAGCGCTCCTAATAAGCCCCTCTGCTTTTCTTCTCCCTCCCAAATCAGAGGTGCACCGACATTTGCACTACTGTACTACTTCGTGCAGTGGGTGTTGACAGCTTCGCTATTCTGAAAAGGTAAATAGTTCTCAAACCCAGTCAGGGACCACGGTCATATAAAGAACTTGGTTATTTGAGGACAGGCGTACGCATCTGCACTCCACCACCACTCCTACTTGTTTCTCTATAATGACCACACGGATCTACTTCCGTGATGCAGACTCCTGAAAGAACAGCAGTTTGCCTTTATTTTGTGCGGGAGTTAAAAGCCCAGGCTCTGGCGTCACATAGCCCTCGGCTCACTCACTATATGTGAGGAGCTGATTTGCTTCGTGTCGTTAAGCCTCAGTTTCCTCATCTGTAAAATCCCGTCTATGGTCATGCTACCCTGAACAAGCCCGATGCCGTCTGATCTCGGAAGCTAAGCAGGGTCGGGCCTGGTTAGTACTTGGATGGGAGACCACCTAGGAAGACCAGGTGCTGTAGGCATAAAAAATAAAAAATAAGGGATTGTAAGCTGACAAGGTCCTTGCAATCTGTGAGGTCAACCAAGAGCTGTCTCACCTAAAAAATAAAAAATAAATAAAAATAAAATAAATTCCAGCAGTGATGAACATATTCACCTCATCAAGTTATTATGGGTAGTATGTGCAGGAAAGTATTTATCACAGTAAATGCTTAGTAAATGCTCTATTTTGATGATGACGATGATGATGAAGAAAAGATGATGATAATAGAGATTCTTGATACCGAAGCCTCAGAGATATCACAAATTAGCTATGTAATCTTGAGCAAGACTTCTGTGAGCCTTAGTTTCCCCACCTCCATGCCTCCTGTCTACCATTCCAGACTTCACTCCTGCTGCATTTGGCTTCCTACAGAGACAGTGCAGCAATTAGGACCCAGTTTTCCATACCCAAACAAATCTGAGGCTCTATGATCTGGGCAAGGCGGCCTCAGTCAGCTTCCTCATCGATAAAACGGGAAACCAACAGCACCCACCATGTGACCTGCTGTGAGAATGAAGAAATAAAGCGTAGAAAGTGCTATGTGCAGTGCCTGACACGAAATACACACACAGTGAATGTCAGCTGTTATTATTAAATGTCACTTACAATTTTCAACATATTTCACGCTCACTCTCCTACTTGATTTCTTCTCCGAACACTAGGTCTTACAACCACTGCATAAAGCAGAAATGGCAAACACTATGTTCCCCATCATACAGCTGAGGAAAGTGGGAAATGGAGACATCACATCACAGAGCTGGTTAGCAGTGACCGAGCAGGGATTAATAAGCTCCAGGGGTCATGACCCACAGACAAGTGTTTGTTCTGCAGGATGCTGCCATAACACCAAAGAGCACAGACTTGGGAAATTGGAGGACCACAGACCCATAAAGCACACTTACACAACGACCTAAGTTCTATTCAAAGTGGAAATTCAATCTCATATCATGCCAGGCTCAGCACTCCTCAGGGAAAAATAGTAAATGGTGATAATGGAGATAACCAACAAGCGGAGCCCCGAAAAGATGGCCCCCAGTAGGGTAGACAAATGACCTTTAGGTGGGAAATGAAGGATTGGCAATGATGGGCCTCCCTAGGGTGGTCCATAGGTGACACAGGTTTCTTATTTATGAAAGTTAATCCAAAGTAGGAATTGTCATTTTCCAGCTTGCACATTCTATACTATTGTGATTTTTTCCCCACTGGGTTCTTTATTATCTATATGTCTTTAATTTATTTTGCAAATGATTTAAGGGAGGAGAGACTAAAAATCTCAGAGCTAGAAAAAAACTTAAGAAATGGTCTAAACCATTTCTCTATTTTACAGAGAAAATGTGACGCCATTTCTCTATTTTACAGAGAAAATAGAGAAATGATGGCTACAGTGGTCATATCACATGAACAAGTCGCACAGCATGGAATGGGTGCTCTTTGCAGTGGCCAAGGGTTCCTCTCCTTTCAGCTTCCTTCTCCCCTAGATCACACCAACCAAATCATTTGGATCCCTTTCCCATTCAAGCCTCTTTCCCAGTCACTCAGAATACAAGAGCAACAACCACACATTAAGTGCTACCGTGTGCCAGGCAGTGTGCAGAGTACCTCTGCATATATCATCTCATTTAGACCACATGAGAAGCCCCAGGAGGCAGGAAATGTTATCCCCCATCTTACAGATAAGGAAACTGAGGATCAGAACGGTTAAGTCACTTACACAAGGATACATGACTAATGAGTGGCAGAGGCAGGATATGAATTGAGATCTATCTTACCCCGAAGCCCATGTTCTCCTGAGCCAAATATGAATATTTAACTCCTGGCTGTTTGGGATTACCCAGTCCCTCTCATTTCCTTTCGGTCCTATGGAGTTAGAGCTGAAAGGGAACTTTACTGAACAGACATGCCCAGGCCCCCAAACTCCCAGCCCAGGGCTATGACTCTCCAACAGAGCTGGTTATGCACTCTGGGTCCACTGTAATATGGACATAGTCTCGATATCAGAGACTTTCCAGGCTATATTTGTTCTTCAGGAGCAGCAGGAGTACATAGCAGCTCTATAAACAGCTGGAGTCCCTAAGCCTGACAGTCTGTTTCCCAGGGCCTGGTTTTATTCACCAGAGCTAACAGACCTGAGAGCAGAGAGAGGCAGCCAGCAAGTAGGGGTCTCTATCCATTCTAGACCAGGGGAGAGATGAGGCTGCCTGTCCTTCATCTGACCTTTGCAGGGTCTCTTGTTCTAAGTCTAGGCAGCAAGACATAGGTAGAAGTTGTAACAGGAATGGATGAGGAAGAAGTGGGAAGGGGCTCCTGATCTAGAGCAGCCCCTCAATAGTCTACAGGAGAAAGATCTGGAGCTAGAACCTACAGGGAGCCGCCCAGCTTGTCTGGACACATACATGCTTATGAGTGTGCTTAAGTGTGCACTGCAGCATCCATGTATCTGTGTAGTATGTATGCATGTGTGTGTATTGTGGAACTGTGTGTTAGTGCAAATGCACACATAGGCATGTGTATATGTGTATGCTAGTTTGAATATACTGGACATGTAACTTCAAACAGAAATGTGTATGGCCATGTACAGGTATGAATATAAGTATGTGTATTTCTGTGGTTATAAATATAAATATGAATATGTATAAGTGTGTATGTGCATGTATCTGTGTGCATGCATATATGTAAGAATATGCAAAAGTATTTAAGAGCGAATGTACATGAAGTATATTTTTCCATTTATGTAACTGTGTGTGGATATTAGTGAATATATAAGCACATATTTAAGTATGCATCAGTCTTATGCATACTTAAATATGCATATTATTAAATAAGCTGGTGTTCCTCCAGACAGAGTGACCCTGTACCCCAGGTGATGCTAGATTTATTTAAATATGCATGAGTCAGCATATTTACCTGTATTTATGCATATGCATGTGAATATATATCCATACAAATACATGTGAATAAGTGAAAGAGTATTTACATATGAATCAGTATGTGAGTTTGAGTATGTCTGTACACGTGTGCAGGTGTACGTGGCATGTATATGGCTGGAATTCATGTGGAACTATGGGCAATGAATGAGAGTGTGTGTGTCTGTGTGTGTGTGCTGATGTCCTTTGGGCATGAATCTCACTGTTTCCATTATTAGGTCATAAGCTCCAGCCTCCCTCACCAAGGGTCAAACTAGCCTTGCACAGACAGGTACCCTGTGCCCACGACCCCTACGGACTAGTGACAGTCTATCCACAGTATGATTATGGACAGCAAAACTCTGGCACATTTTTTCAAGTATATGAGCAATAGACAAAAACAAGCTTTTATAATGAATCCAGTGAAAAAGAAAACAGAGAGAAAGAGAAATGCAAATACACAATCTAGTATACGTCCTACTAGTCTCCCCTCCTTGCCTGTACAAACATTTATGTGAATACACACAACTTTGTAGAAATAGAACTGTGCAGCACAGTCTGCTTTTTTCACTTCTACCGTGTCTTAGAATCTCCCCACATCACTACATACAGGTCTACCTCATTCCTAACTCTCCACACACCACCAAACTTGGAAACATAATAAGGAGTTTATTATTATTACATTCAGTATATGACAAAATGATTTTAACCTGGTTCCAGACGTTCTGGCCTGCCTGTGAAATTCCACGGCCTGGACAGCACGTCA